TCCAGGTTCTCCTCCTTTGTCCGGGTGTGGATGAGGACATCGCCAGCACAGGACAGCACGCTCTCCCGGTGGCCAAGCTTCTCCCACATCCTCACCACATGGGCGTGGCAGATGGCGGGGGCATTGTGGAAGCCTGGGGGGACTCTGGCAAAGGCAAATTGCTGTCCTCGAAGGGTGAAGGCAAACTTGTGCCAGCACTCGGGGTGCAAGGGGATGGCAAAGGACGGGCTGGTCAGGCTGAGCACCGAGAACCACTCAGATCCCTGGGAGATGGCTGCCATGATGTCAGGGTACTTGGCCACTGCAGAGGTCCGCAGTGGGGTGACACAGTTCAGGGCACTGAAGTCCACTGTCAGCCTCCATGTTTTCCCATCAGCTTTCCGCAGAGGCCACACTGGGGCGTTGCTGGTGCTCTGCTGCTCCACCAGCACCCCCTGCTCCAGCAAGGTTTTGACTGTGTCCCACAAGCCATCCTCAGCCTCAGCTGGGTACTGAGGCTGTGGCTGAGGAGGGGGATCTGGCCCTTTGACTGCCACAACAGCATCAATCTGCCCGCAGTCCAGCTTGCTCCTTGCCCAGACCTGGGGAAACTGCTCTGTGACCCGTTTCACCCGGGGTTCCCACTCAGGGTGGACCAGGAGCTCAGGGGCTTTCACTGACATCACTCGGTGGCTTGCCGGGATGATGGGGGCATCACTTTGGGGGCAGTGTAACAGCGCTTGGTTTGCCAAGTCTACCACCACCCCCATCTTTGTTAGCGTGGAAATGGCTAAAATTCCCACCTTTCCCTTTATTTCCATTTTCCCAAATTTTTCAGACCCTTTGGCAGTCCCAATTTCAAAGGGTATGGGTCCTGTGAAGGGCACTGAGGATTTTTGGCCATTCGGCCCTGTCAATTCAATAATTTCACAAGTTTGGAAGATCCCGGCTTCGCCAGGGACCATATTCAGAATTGAATAAGAGGCACCGGTATCGATTAGCATCACTTGTCCAAGCACCCCTCCTCCAATAGTTATATCAACTATCAGGCGCCCCCACAAATCGGTCTTAATCGGTGCCACAAAAAGGGGCGATGCGGGTGCCTGGCAGCCCTATTGCTGAGCCTTAGAGCCCGGGTCAATCGGGTTGGAGCTGCTGTGCTTTTTGGCCTAGGGCCAGTTTTCGGAAGACCTCCGCATCCGGCAAGCCATCAATATCCTCCTGCTTCTCGTATTTTATCAAGCGCTTCCTCAGCTCAGACCGCCAAGGGTTGGATTTCTGAAACCTCAGCCCTTGCTGGTTCTCCTTCCCTGAACCTCCCTTGCCATCGGGATCTTTTCGGTTGTCTCCTTGCATTTTTCTCACCCCTGCATTTTGGAAGGACATGGCCGAGGTTTTCCCTTTCTTCCCCCCCAGCATGTACCCCGGGAACGCCTGCTTTTGCAGCTCAAAATTCTGGGTCAGGATCTGCTCCAGCTCTGACAGTGGCTTCCTGGCCGCATCCCCGCCAGCAATCACGCGCAATTGCGGGGTCAACCCCCCCACCAGTGGCTCCTTGAATTTAGGGCTGTCAAAATCAAGGGGGGACTCCTTCGAGCCAGGCAGCCCAGCCATCTGGTAGAGCATCTTCTTACGGTTAACGTAGGCATCTGGACGCTCCTCTGGGTTTTGCTTCTCCTGGTGGAAGAGCACTAGGGGATTGACCTCTGGGAAGAACACCTTCAGCACAGCTAACTGGACATCCCCGATGTCCTGGACGTTGCCCATCTGCACATCCCCTGGCAGTGCTGAGAAATCATCTGGTTTCATGCACTTTCTCACCAGGTCTATCAGGTCACTCACCGCGTTGCCATTCTGGCACCTGGGCAGCCGCTGGGCCCTGGACAGCCAGTTAACGGCCGGAACGGCCCCAACATCTTCCCCACTGTTTTGAGCTGCTCAGGGGTAAACCAGAGCACAGGCCTGTTGGTGTCTATGGGCTGGAGCGGGCCGTGGCTGGCTGGCTCGTCAGGGGGGTTCTTTTTAATTTTGGAAGCCTCCACCTCCCCTCCCTGCAGCTGGCACACCTCCTCCCGCAGAGGAGCATAGGGGGATGGCCTGGTGGGGCCGTTGGCACCCCACACATCATCCTCATAGTCGTAGTGAGGTGGGTGCGGGTCCAGGGAGTCCTCCCCTTCACCATTCCCAAACCGGCTCCTCTTGCCTTGGATGGCAGCCACAATACCCCTGGACACCCCCAGCTCAGCCTGCAGCTCCTGGATCTTGGCGTGGCATACCTTGTGATCGGGGCCGGTGCCCCGGTCCCGCTGGACGTCCTGCAGGACTGCCCGCACCGCGCTCTGAGCATCGTGGGTCTCACCGATCCACTTGCCAACCTCCTTCTCCAGCTCCTCCGTTTTCAGCTTCTCGTAGCCCAGCTTGCTCTCCAGCCGGGTGATCTCCACTGCGCTCCGCAGAGAGTCCCCGCACAGACCCTGCACCTCCGCCCGCAGGTTGTCCACCTGCATTTTGAGCTCGCCCTTGGCTTGCTCCAGCGTCTGCACGCTCTCAAGAGCCTCCTTGAGCAATTTGGACAACTCCCTGCTCACCATCAGCAAACCCTGCAAAGCCGCACGCTTCTTGCACTTATTTGTGGGTTTGGGTTTTTTGCTCTCCTCCGACCAGCTCTCCCACTGCTGGCACAGCTGCTGGTACGCCTCCGGGCCCTGGAAGGACCCCGGGGACCAAATTGGAGGGAGACACTTCTGGAGCACAAACTGCTCCAGCTTCCAGTTGCTAACGAAGTCGCTCATCATAGTGAAGGGGACGAGATGCGAGACGGCTCCGGCTCAGGGCAAAGCTACCATAACACCAGCACCACCGACCCACCCACAGAGGAAGGCTGCAACCCCGTGACCCACCCCTCCAAAAAGCCCACCCAAGGGGATGCCGAACCTGGTAGCGAGGGAAGGGGACGGTGGGGATGGGTGGCTGTGGCCGAGCAGGGAGCTGCTGCAACCCACCGGCTCCCAAGGAAGGGATGGGGAAGGGACTCGGGAATGGGGGAAGTGAAGCAGAGGGGTAGTAGGGTCCCGATAATAAGATCTCACCAATCCTTGGCTGGGTGTCCTGGCAGTCCTGGGGACCTGGAGACGATCGCTGCAGAGCTCCGGTGGATTCAGCACCTTTAAAGTCAAGGTGGCCGCGGGGTCTCGTCCCGGTGGATTTTTATAGCCATGGCAGGTTGTTGTTTGGGGCTGATAACACCTCTGTTTACTTTCTCGGTGGTTTTTTCTCCTGCAGGTGCTGCAGCCCTCCCTTTGCCTTCCCAAGGACACTTTCCTTGTATTTCTTTATCCTCTTTGGCACTGATTAGGGAAGCGGAGATCACACGGGAGCTGCTGCTCTGCCCCTTATCTGTTTTGGGGGGGCCAGGATTAGTCACATCTTGCTCATGGTAACTTCTGCTTGCACCAAGTGCCCTGAAGAGGGAGAGCTGGAGCCTGTCCCCACAGCATCCATCCCTTCCAATTCCCTCCATGGCCTCCTCACTTGCTGCACACCCCCTTAACGCCTGGGTTTTGGGGGGAGATCACACATGGGGCTCACGTCTCACACCTGTAATACACACGGTCCCCCCAAATCCCCACCGTTGAGCACCCAGCTCCTTGCTGGGGGGAGGTACGATGGCAGGAAAATTCACACCATTTGTAGTTTAGATCCATTTGGCTCCTGGACTTGAAAAAGCAGCATTTTTCCATGCCACAAACCAGCCTGCGTGTTCCTTGGGGGTACCCCACGACATGTCGGGAGCCTCGACCATGATATTGCATCAGCTGAAGTACAGCTGTAAATCTGCACCTGCAAAGGCAGACGGACCCCCTCAACCTCGCCCCGCAAACCACATCTTAGCTCCGAGCAGTTTAGAAGAGAAAATTTCACCCACTTGACTTTTTTTCTGCTTTTACACTAAGAAAAAGGTAGTACTCCTCTTAGTGAAAATGCTAATTTTTTCATTGCTGGTTTTACCCCTAATTAAATACTTCAGAAGCTGCACCCTTCCCTAGAATAAAATCATTAAAAAGAATAAAAATAGCAAAAAAAAGTTTATCCACAGCTGCTTGAGTTTCCATCCAGCAGCCCCTTATCCCCAACAGACCCTTACTTCCAGAGACTGATCATGTTGGACCAGGCTTGAGGCTGAGCAGCCTTCCCCAACCCCAGAAGTCAGCCCTGGTAGCCTGAAAAGCAGAGAGGGAATAGATTTTTTATTATTTTTATGGCAACTACTCCTCCAGCCTGGCAGTTACAGCCCAGCTGCAAATACCTCTGCTGCAACACGGGAGTTTACCGGAGATGGAACACCGATCCTCTGCTCCAACCCCCCGACAGCAAACGCTTTGCTGTAAGAAACCCACCACAGGGAGAAAATAAAAAGTCAAAAATGTAACAAAGTTGGCGAAACCCAGGGAATTAGTGTCGGCGTGGTGAGGCGCACAGGATGTGGGCTGAGAAAAAAAAGAGGGGCTGGTTCCCCTGGGGATGGGCGAGGAGGAGACCCACAGGGTGACCACCGAGACAGGGCAGGGAGTTGGCTGGGCTGGGGGCTGGGGTGGTTGTCTTTCGTTTGAGAAAAAGAATTCCCCCTAGAAACTGTGCAGCTGAATAACGCCAATACCCCAAAATTCAGCGATCCCCCCCATCTTGGCCCAGCTGTGAACCAAATGCTCGTGATGAGGAGCTGCTGTACCCCAGCAAGGTCACACCAAGTCTTGCTTGTGTTCACAGATCAGTTCAACTCAAACCCTTCTTTCCTCCCCTTTTTTCTTCCCAGGCCAGCAGCCCCAAACAATGTGGGGATGTTGTAAACAGCAGCTGCTCTCCTGCACATTCCCACAGCGCTTTTATTTTTGTCGGCGATGGGCCGCCAGACAAAGGCATCCCACCTCCAAAATATTTTCTCCCAGTCCTGAGAACAGCATGGCTGCTGATAAACAGCCCAACTGCGTATAAACAGCAGCTTAAAAAAAAAAAAATAAATTAAAATTAATCCCTGTTTCAGCACACACACATATATCGCAAATATTCCTTTTTCTTTCCATAGGAGACACCCTATAGGGAAAAGCACTGCAGGGAAGCATCTCTACAGCTGCTCTAATGGCCTGGGGAATCCTCCCAAGCCAAAATATCTGCTTAGACAACGCAGTGTCGCCAGCCTTGCGGCAGCCCAGTGTAACATGCCCTATGTCCAAGGTGGTGAAGGTTACAAAAGGCACCTCTGGGACCACTTTAGTCTTGGCCAGAAGATGCTCCAGGTGACAGCACCAGTGAGAAAAGGGAGATTAATTCAGCAAACCAACTTCACCATGGAGATAAAGGGAAAATTCACTTTTCTTATATAAAGCAACCTACCTCCCCCAGAAAAAAAAAAAAAATTTGATGCCTACACCCTGTTTTGGAGAGGTCCCACTTTGGGAGTGAGGAGAAAGGCAAGCAGAAGGTAAGGAGGGGAGAAGCAAGAGTTGCTGCTTGAAAATTAGCCCTTAAAAGCCCTGAAATGTGTTTGAAGGCACTGAAATTACTTTCTCCTGCCAGGAAAGAGTTAAGGAGCAATGCATCCCACCCTAAACCTTAGCAGCTGAGCCCTTCATGGCAAAGGTTTGGTGGTTAGCAACCCCCTTGAGCAGGAAATTCTTCTAAACAGCGATGGGGAGGGGAGGTGTTATAGCAGCATGGAAAAATCTGCTGCAAATAGGACCAAAAAATTGCACTGCAAGAGATGCCAAATAGTTTTTCCTATTTGTCTGCCAACTCAAAACCCAGGGGGAGGTTTTTTTGGTGCCCCCATGTCAGACCCCCCACGGGAACTCCCCCCCCACCAGCCCTGGGGAGATGCTGAGGCTTTGTAAGGACCACAAATATCTGCATGACACAAGCAGAAAAGAAAATCGAAACCCACTTGGCAGCTAAGGGGGCAGTGAATAAATAAAATTAATAATTATTATTTTTTCCCAAACATGGAAACATTGAAGGCTGCTGACCCCAGTTCACCCCTGAAATTTCACATCACATATTTCATTTTTCAAACCCTAAACCCCCGAGTGCTCCAAACCTCTCCCCCGTGAAGACATTTCAAAGCCACTCTGATATTTTATCTGTCATTTCAATATTTCTGCTGGTGAGCTGCACACAGTCACAGCTACTAAAGCAGCACCCGCTGTGAGGTGGGGAGCCCCAGCAGAATTTCCTTATTTTTGCGGTTTTTAAGCCACTAAATTTTTTTTGAAGTTTCTTGCTCTGGGCTTCAAAGCTTTCTGTGATGCCTCGTGCCTCTGCTCTATTGCACGTTAGATTGGCATTCAGCATTTTCCAGGCCCGGAGAAAAACACCTCCTGCTAAAGATTCTGCTGAAGAAAACAACCCTACTGCTCAGATTGCATCTTCTCCTTATTATGAATGCATTTTGATTTCAGCAGAGGAAAAACCAGCCAAAATTCATCCTTTCCTGCTTTTATTTTTAATGCCAAGCTCCTACATTTGGCAATTTTTTAATTGCATGGAGCTAGATTAAAAGAAGGAAAAAAAGCTAAATGATGAAATATGAAGAAATCATAATTAAAAATCAATGAGTTTTCTTTTTTTTTTTCTTCCTGAAGGGGATTTCAGGGCATCCCGTGCAGTGTTGGAGAACCGCGTGGGGCTCCAACCTTGTGCACACCTGGTTTGGGGGCTCGGTGCAGAAGCAGCCACTGGGCTGAGGCTCCGGGCGCTGCCACAGCAGATGCTCTTTGGCAGCCATCAGCGAGACATCTGCACTGAGAAGAACCTCCTGGGGTGAAGCCAGCCCTGCCACCGAGAGGTGACTGTGCGTGGAAAGGGGGAGCTGGCTCAAAACCCCTTCATTGTTGGCTCCACCGCCATGGCCCGGCCGTGGCTCCATCTCTGCATCTGCCTCCAGATCCCAGGTAAGAAGGACACTTCTCCTAAGGGTTGAGGGCACCTAAAATGATGCTGGAGCCACTCCTCTACCCTGCTCCAGCACATGGGATGCATTGCGCAGTGTCTGGATGATGGAAGTTTAAATATACAGGCATAGCATAGATCTGCAGGGTATTATTTATTGCCTATCACCGCATCATTTTGGACAATGCCATTAGTAACATGCTTTAGCTTTTGGGCAGCCCTGAACTGGTCAGGCAGTTGGAGTAGATGATCGTTGTAGGTCCCTTCCAACTGAAATAGTCTGGTCTGGTCTATTCTATTCTATGCAATATATAATGGTATAGACACCGCAGTTTGTTTTTACTGCACCCTCTCAGTGCAGACGGAATGTGAGAACCTGCTGATGGAGAAGTTAAATTAGCACCTATCTCCATTGCCTGTGCAACATGGAGACAATAAACATCCCATCAAATTTGCTTCTGCTTATTGCAGACAGGTTGCAGGAGGTCTGGACCAAATAGACACAGTCAATGTCAGGGCAAGGTGGTAGAATTACACTTCACATGACAAACGGTGCCATCAGTTCTTAGGTGGAAAGTGCTGAGAGCTTGAAGCACCCATTAAATGTATATATTAGGGTGGCAGCTCAAGTAGGTCCCCTGAGATGTTGCCCAGCCCAGGTCCAGCTGCCCAGCATCCTCGCTCAAGGCTGTCAGGACTGCAGGGTGTTTTGTTCATGTCGTGTGATGGTCATCCAGCCACAGCATAACATCTGGCAGCAAACAGCCCAAGATGCTTTATCAACACATATACAGGTAGTGATATACTATAGATCTATACGGTGGGGTCCCTGCTGAGAAAACTCCAATAAATTAGAGTTTGCTCCACACATGCAAAGGGAGCAGGGACCAATTTTAAGTGCTGCAGGCTGCTCTGAGCAAGCACATGGAAACAAACCTGTCCCACCCTGATTCTCCATGGTCTCCTGCAAGAACACACACCAGGAAAGGGAACAGGGAGGTTTTGGGGGATGAAGGTGCAGCAGAAGATGCTCTTTTCTGCTCTGGCTCCATCCCAGCTCACCCATCTGCAGCTTGATGTCTGCCTCAGAGCAGAGCTGAGCATTTTCCAGGATCCCTTCTCATCCTTTCCGATTCATCTAATATCTCTCCAACAGCCTGAGCAAAAGGCTTTGGGGGGGGTTAATTTTCCCCAGAGCCACATCTCAGGGCAGCCAGGGGGACCCTGAAGCCACCGTGCCCCATGGCTACATGCATTTCACCCCCTAAAAAAACACACGGGTGTTTTACCAGGGCAAAGTTTGGGATGATTGCCCTCCAAAACCTGAAAATGACATATTTTAGTAATAAGGAGACATTGATATAATCACAGCACCAGGAGATGCGGTGAAATGCTGTGGCTGCTGTGCAACACCTGAGTTTTGGCTTTGCAATGTCAGGGCTGAAGCCTGCTCATCCCTGCAGCATGCCAGCAACGATGGGGCCATCGCCATGGGGTGGAGGAAGACTCTGGACATGTGTCAGGCAGCAGAGCCCTCTCCTCTGCTTGTCCCCATCGGGGACATGGGGATCAGGGGGATTCAGGTATTCTCATGGTTGTGCAACCCCATTCCACCCCTCCGGGATCACAGGGCTGTATAAGGCTGTTTGCAACGACTCCAAGCAGCTTTGGGATTTTGAAGGAATAAGGACATTTCAACGTAAAAAAAAAAAAAAAAAAGCCCCAAGACATGTTTTTTTTGAGCTTTTTGCTCATCTGTAAAACACACCTGGGAAAGAGCTGGGGGAAGCGAGAACATCCTTATCTTCAGAGGGCTGTTTTTCACTTGGTCTCGGAGTATCAGCAGCTTTGTAGGACTGTTTGCTGAACAGAAAGGATCACAAGTCACCTGTTATCCTTTTCGCAAGGACACATCCTCGCTCGCACGCAGACACCGCTCCCATCTGCCTGGGCCAAACACAACTCTGATAATTTCCACAAAAGCTACAAAGCCCAAACACAGCGACAAGATGTCGAACTGAAGCTTTCAACCCCACCGCTATCCCTCCCTCCGTCTCATTCCCCAGGTCTCGAAATTAATGCAAAAATAATGTCGTCTGAAAACGAATAGAAAATTGGCTCATTTTGAGATGTTTTGCAGGGTTTTTAGTCTTTTTCTGCATGTGAGATGCTAGCTGAAGTTTATTGGTGTTGCTTCTGTTAGAAGAAAAATCTGGCAAATAAGTTAAGAGGCTCAAAAAAAAAATATTGTTGAATGAGAGGTGAAGCCTCTCCAAAAAATGAGAGAGAAAAAGAGGGGCAGGAGAGGGGCATCTGCAGGAGCAGCTGCGGGTCCCTGCACATACACCCCTCCATCCCTCTCCCTGCCTCCTCCCTAGATAAGTGCTTATGGGGCAAAAATCTTCCTGTATAACTTGGCTTGACCAAAAAATAGCTGGGGAACCCAAAAAAGGCTTCTGAGGGGATATGGGCTGAGGTTCCTGACAAAGATGCTCCTGTTTCTCGCTTCTGTGATCCCTGCTCTGTGACTACTTGATCTTATTAAGCCCACAAAGGAAATCTGTACTTAGCACGGGAGAAAAGTAATGAAAAGAAAATAATAACTATGTATTTGTCTTTTTTTTCATAGGTTTCTGTACAAATCTACTTTTATCCCAGACTCCAAGGAATATTTTAGCCCAAACTAACAATAGAACAGAAATCCTCTGTGAGCTGAAGAAGGAGCACGCCGGGGTGTACTGGTACCGCTGGAGCCAGGAGAGGCAAAATTTCGAGTTCTTGGTATTTTCCAACCCGCTGGGTAAAGCCACGTACGGCGCAAACATCAGCCAGGAGAAGTTTAGTGTCTATGGGGCGAGGTCCCACAGCTCCTACAGCCTGCACATCAGCCACCTCCACGCCTCCGACAACGGCACCTATTACTGCTCCATCTCCCAGTCCTCCCAGCTCCTCCTGGGCAGCGGGACACGGCTCGGTGTGGGTAAGCATCATTCGTGGGGCTCCAACGTGCCACCAGCAGGCTGCGATGAGGTCCCCTAGGTAAGGGGTAACACATGTTAGTAGACCCTTCCCAATTCTGAGATGCAAGACTGGGGCTCCAGGTTTTTTGTGAAGAGACCTAATAAGTCAGTAAATACACAAAATAATATTTTAGGTCAGCTGCATGTGACAGTCCGTTTGCCACCAACAGTTCTTTGTCTGTAGTCACGCCATGAGTGCCACGTTGGTCCTGGTGTTTCAGGATTTCCACGCGAAGGTGCTCAGCCTCCGTATCGGCATGCCCTCGTTTTTCTGGGGTACTTAGGATGAGAGGCTGGCTGTGTGCCCTGCTCCACTCCCAGGTCCTCCTGCACCCCAGTTCCTCCTCACCCTTCCTCCAGGTGACAAGAGCAGCAGCTTGAAGGCCAGGAGCCATCACCGCGGCTTCACGGGGGTGGGTCTGACTGCAGATGTCAATCCTGTCCTTCACAGAAAGGATTGAATTGGGATTTATTGCTCACGCAGCCACCATCACAGGGGAGCTCCAAGCAGCAATCAGAGCTGGCTGCGGGTAGCACCGGGGGAATGATGCTTTACAGCCCCTGGGTCACACAACAGCTCTTCTCAGCCCGTTTCTCCCTTGGCCACTGAGCAGGAGGTGGTGGAGAAAAATGAACATGTTTGAAGAAGGATTCAGCCCTTTCTTTGCAGGCTTTTAGGGAGACAAATAATTTATTTAACCAAGATACAGCTACGGCTGTTGGCTCTAAATCATCCCCAGTGTCTCAACCTTTCTGGTTGTTGTTTTTTTTTTACAAATATTCTCTGCACCTTGAGCTGGCTGAGAAATCCAAAAAAAAATGAAGAAAAGCTGGTTTAAGATAAAGGAGAACTGCTTTTTATCAACCGGGCACGTATCTATGTGCAAAGCATGAAAAACAGGGCTGAAATTCAGCGTGATCAAGGACACTCCAATTAAAGACTAAACACCAGCAGGTGCTCTGGGAGGACTCAGGCTTTGCTGGATATTTTCTTTTTTTCCTTTAGTACACATGATAAAGCAAATCGTCTTTAAGTTCTTTTCTTTAAGTCCCTTATAACGTAAGGGAGAAGTTTTCCAGGTAAATCCCAGGCACCCGATGTCTCACATTTCCATGTAAAAGAACGGGGGTTTCCATAGGAATTTCAGTCCTGGATAGAAGCAGAAAAAAAACAGTTTTGAATCACCCAAAATTTTGAATACGTGGAGTTTGAGCAGTCAGATGCACAGTTATTTAATGACATTACTGGGATTTTTTTCCTGACCAACTTTACAGAGAGATGAATATGCTCCACTGTAAGTTAGGTACACCATAATAAACCCTGCACCCATTTTATCAGAAAAAAAAAAAATCCAATTCTGAGCAAAGATTAGAGCAATCTGAATATGGAAAAGATCCAGGGACCCCTTAAAACCTCCCAGTGCTGCTGAAATCTCCTGCTGCCTGTGATTTCCTGCAACACCAGCAAACATAGCTCGAGGAAATTTCCTTTTCCCCTTCCTCAACCTTCTGCCCTTGTTTTTCTGGTACTTTGCTTTATTAACACTTTTACAAGCTCTTGGTAACTTCTGTGGCCACCAAGAGGTTCAGGTCCAGCCCCCAACCCCACCGGGTGACTCAGCCCTTTGCGGGGGTCCCTGGATGGGGTTAGCTTTAAAAGACAAAAATTTCCAACCCTTCTTGCCTGTTGTTTGAGATCCACCCCCTGCACCCGGTGCCATACTGACCATCCTCTTCTCCTCCTTCTCCACCAGTCGATGTTTTGCCTCTGCCTCCAAAGAGCACTCAGGCACCGCTCCCCAAAAAGCCTGCAGGGTGCATAACCAAAAGCAAAGCTGCCATCAAGAAAGGTATGGCAGCAGGTGGGCTTGCAAAAGGGTTTTGCTGAGCTCCTGGGGGGTCTCCAATGTTCAGCTGGGGGCTCAGGGCAACCACAACATGACCCTGCAGGGGTGGGCATCTGGGTCCATCTGGCCCCACCGCACCAGATGGAGCTGACCTTGGGGTGTCATGCATCCGCCAAGGAGATCCCAGGGTGATGGGCATGTCCTCCACCCCTCCTGAGGACCTGCCTTGCTTCTGTCCCCTCCCCACCCCACCCTTCATCTCCCAAAGCTGCCGGGGCAGGAGGATGCTGAGCTGGGGAGGGCAGCTCCACACTGTGTCCCCTCCTGTTCTCCAGGTGCCTGCAGCCCCCTGGTCTGGATCCCCCTGGCCACCAGCGTCCTGGTCCTTCTGCTGAGCCTGGTCCCTACCGCCTACCGCCTGCACCGTAAGCATCCTGCCAGCCCCAGGGGACAAGGAGGGGCGTCAGGCCCTGGGACAGCCTGGGAGCAGAATGGGGGGCTGGGAGGGGGTCCCAGGGCTGACAGCCACCCTCTCTCCCCAGGTCTGCGGCGGAGGCTGTGGCTTCGTGTCCATAGGCAGTAAATCCCAACGGCTGCTCACTGCCAGGGAGAAGCCACGGATGTTCCCCTGTGTGGTGCTGAGCCCCACCTGGATGTGACCGAGGAAGGACATTACAGGAGGCAGACACAGGCTTGCACGGCCAGACATTTCTTTCCTGCGCCAGACCATGACTTCAACACTTTTCCTTGACACAACAGCTAGTAACCGACCGGGCTGGACGCTGCAGCATGCAGAGTATTTCTCAAACAGCACCGAGCGGGGTGAACTGGATCGGTACTGGGGTACCGAGGGGATTCAGAGGGGCCTGGAAGATGCTCTGAAAGCTTCTCAGCTCTCCTCTCTCTTGACCCACAGGGCATCACGATGGTGCTTTTCATGTGCTCCTGCTGACGCTGGTGGATAAGACTTTGCTAAGAAACACTGAGAGCAACCAGCAGCCAGCGGGAGCAGGTCATAGCACGGCTTGTAAAGGCCCCATATGGGCACATTCGTGAGAAACAGTGAATACATCTGTTTTGCTCTGAAGGCTGATGTCTTGTGGCCACTCTTGGTGTGTGAGCAAGGGGAGCCACGGCCTCTGCCCCAGCGAGAGTTAAAGCAGAAGAACAGCTCCCAGGGAAGCGGCTCTGGGAAGGCATCTTCTCCCACAGAGACCGCAGCCAGCCAGGAGTGGGAGAGGAAAGCCAGGCAGAGCGATGTACCCAAGGCCAAATACCTGGCACAGCCTGAAGGTCAACACCGCCTCTAAGAGCCAAGGGAGGGAGCTGGGGGCTGGCCCCGAGCCCAGCAGCACCGCACAGCGGGTGAGAATCACCCTGAGCAATGCCCATGTGCTGAGCCCCAAGCAACGTCTGTGTTTGCTGAACCCAGAGCACACCGAGCCCTGAGAAATGCCCAAGCGTGCTGAGCCCCAGTCAACACCCAGATGTGCTGAGCCCTGGGGTGATGTCTGTGCGTGCTGAGCCCTGAGGGATGCTCGCATGTGCCGAGCCCTGAGTGTGCTGAGACCCAACACCACCCACTCGGGCTGAGCTCTGAGCGATGCCTGCACACATTGAGCCCATGTGTGCTGAGCCCTGAACAACACCCACGTGTGCTGACTGCTGGAGCCCCAAGCGATGCCAGAAGCAGGGTGGGTCACCCTAGGGATGCTAACAAGGCTCAGCCACCGCCTGGGGCTGCAAGGCTGACGTGGGGCTGGAAATTCAGCGCTTTGCTGAGCACAGACAGCAGGCGCTCACTCTCGGGTGCATCCCCAGCCCTGTGTCTCTGCTGAAATTCAGGCACCAGCTGCAGTGGGTGCAAGGGAAAGGTGGTGCAGACCCCTCCTGCCCCCAGGGTGGGTGGAAAGCCAGCAGCTGTTTTTCCTGCTGGGGAAGCAGCAGGGATCTCCTGTCCTGCACACTGTGTGTGTTCTTACAGCCGCCCACAAGCCAAGGGCTGGTGTGGCTCCAGAGTCCCTGGGGCCAGGGTAAAGGCAGGCGCGGGAGGAGCACATGTGGGTGTAAAGCATCGCAGCCACACCGCAGCACCCCCCGGCCTTACCCTCCCCCTCCTCTCTCAGAGACAGGGAGCTGCTGCTCTCCCCTTTAATATGGATTTTTCTGTAGGATTTGGTCTCAAACCTGGCCGTGGGAGCTCCTTGCAATGGAAATTTCCCCAAAATGCTGCAGTGATAAAGCCAGAGGTGAAGGATGCTGAGCCAGCTATCCTGGCTGCGATGCTCACCCAGGGTCTTGGGCCACCCACCCAACGGCCCGCAGGGGACACCAACGCTGAACCCTGTCCCACCAGGGATGCTGCAGGGAAGGCTCCTTGATCATCTCTGCCTCCAAAACAACATGCTAGCAGCATATTTTAGCCTCTGTGAAACCTCAAATGAATTAAACTCACTTCTTCTACCCTGCAAGCACTCAGTGTGCAGAGCTTCACCCCACGAGCAGATGATTTTTATGAAATGTATTTTTTACAGGACTAACTATCCTGCCTCGATAGACTTTGGCCATCAGATGATCCCAACACTAATAATACCCCTTCAAACGACGGGGATTTACCCTTCAGCTCTCTGCCCACTGGTGAATAAATGTAACAAGCAGCAAAGAATTTGCTCAATGTCTGATTCCCCCATTTGGCTTGTTTCTCTGTAATTTGAAAAAAAAAAGAAAAAAAAAAAACCAAAACAACCTCCGTGACCTGCGTGCAATGGAAACAGGAGAGGATAGCAACAAGGCCAGGGTGCTACATCCTGTTGAAATACAGCTTTGGGCAGTTCAGCAGTGAAAACGATGAAGAAATTTTAGTTATTCCAGTAATCATCAATAGGGTATTTCAAGACAGTAAACCTCAGAGAAATTTTAGCAGCAGATTTCACAAATGCAAGAGATGGTGGGAAAAAAAAATCACCTCCTGTTTCACAGACTTTTTGTCCCTGAGCATATATGAGAAAGAAACAGAAGCAGTAATATAAAGATGCTTTTATATCTGGGAGAATTAGCCCGGTCCCCTGATATCCGCAACTTCTCTGGTTTTCTTTCCTACCTCACCACTGCGCTGAGAGCACAATGAGGATACCAGCCAAGGGTTAGGGATGCTGTGTTGCAGCACGCAGGGAAAAAGGGATGCTTCCACTGTGGAACCGAACGGGAAAACATTTCTGTGCATCCCTGCTAATGGCACAGTGCCCAGATCCATGCAGGGAGAGAGATGTCATGGCATCACCCATCACAACATCCTGGCAAATGAGAGTCCCTAATTTACTCCTCGTTTCCTTCTGAGGACAGACCAGCCTCCTCCCATGTCCTGCTGTCGCCCTCCTCCCCACAGCAGGGAGCACCCATACCTAGAAGGGAAAATAACAGAACTTTTATATATAACCCCAAATATTAAAATATTCAAAGGACAGAGCTGAGCAGAAACACGGGTATTTCAGGCATTGCAGTAAATAGTCTTCATGCTTTTGTAAAACTTCTCTAAATGAATTAAAAATAATTCGTCAGTCTTTCCAGAATATCTCAGTTGCTGATCTAATATTGGCCGTGCCCAATTTTTCTTTATTCTTTTAACCTGCCCAGTCATTTTTATGTAGTGCCTGTGCTTTTATAATACAAACAGGTAGATATAAAGCGGGTGCAACTGAAAACATTCAATTGAAAACACACTAGTGACGCAAGATGGGAAGTTATATCTGATTTAAAACTCCTAAATATATACAAAAAAAATTTTACAGAGTCATAAACACAGCTGAGTTGGGCCTGCTAACGGAGGAAGGAGGAGTAACATCTCTATTAAATTATTAAACTTGAAATCCGTGCAAAGGGAAAGGAGAGACATATATCCACGGGTGCAGTTAATATTCCTTACAATTCATCCTTGGCCAGAACGGCTCCGCACATGGCAGCTGGTGACTAAATGTCTCCTCCTGGCAGGAAGAATGGATTCACAGCAGGACTTCCAGGCATCCAGAGCAGACTTGTTAAATGGAAATTTCTAAATGTCTTTTTCTACCGCCAGATACAAAAAAAACAGACACATCCCAGAAGCTACAAAAAAAAAAAAAAATCCCAATTGTTATTTGTTGCTCCTGAACCCCGATATTGCACTGACACAGCCTTACACATGCATGCCCGAGTACGCATGGGCAAGTTGTTATTTATATTGACAATTTTATAACTATATATTGTTATATATAGTTGTAAGTCATACATGTTACAGTTAAATACATCATAACTATATTGAATAAATTACATATAACATATATTACATTTAAATATATAACCGTATCATAGATACTATATTAATATGTTACATTTTATATATTACATATAACATATGTATAGCTATATATGTGTTGTTATATAGATTGACAAGTATTTA